GAAGGTTTTCTCGTCTTCTTTGGTGCTTAAAAAGAATAATTTTGAAATCCGAAGGCCATAGGTTCCCCACCCCTGGCGGCCAGTGTATGATCTGGTGCTGTAAGCCTACTTCACTGCTCGGCAATTAATAAATACACAACAATGTCTCATTTTGCTCTTTCTTTTTGAAAATATTTGTTAATTTGATAGAGAAAAAAATGTTATCAGTGTTTTAGTTTCCTGAGATTAAAATGGTGGGTGGTTCTATTTTTACACAATGTAGAGCATTTGCTATTTTGTAATGTGTTGACTGGTATTTAAAAAAAAAATCTTATCTCTGTCCCTGTTATCCCTTAGAAACTAGCATTGTCTGATCCTAAAGACTGATCCTGTCTTTCTGTAGAATCCTAAGCTGCATAGCCCTGTTTCTTCATACTGCCCTAAGTAGGTGTGCCTCTTAGGTTTCATACCAATTAAGATTTTTTTTCTTTCTTTTTTTTTTTTTTTTTGAGATAGTCTCACTCTGTCTCCTAGGCTATAGTGCAGTGATTCAATCATAGCTCACTGCAACCCTGAACTCCTGGGCTCAAGCAGTCCTCCTACTTTTAATCTCCTGAGTAGCTGGGACTGCAGCTGTGAGCCACTGTGCTCAGCTAGTCAGGATTATTTTTTTTGAGACAAGAGTATTCTCTGTCACCCCAGGTAAGTGCTGTAACATCACAGCTCACAGCAACCTCAAACTTTTGTGCTTAAGATTTCCTTTTGCCTCAGCCACCCAAGTAACTGGGACTATAGGCGCCTACCACAACACCTAGCTAATTTTTCTATTTTTAGTAAAGCTGGGGTCTCTCTCTTGCTCAGGCTGGTCTTGAACTCCTGAGCTCAAGTAGTCCTTCTGCTTTGGCCTCCCAGAGTGTTAGGGTTACAGGTGTGAGCCGCTGCGTCTGACTAATTGTTTTTTTTTTTTGAGACAGATTCTCACTATGTCGCCCTTGGTAGGGTGCTGTGGTATCATAGCTGACAACAACCTCGAACTCTTGGGCTTAAGCGACTCTCTTGCCTTAGCCTCCCAAGTAGCTGGGATACAGGTGCCCACCACAACACCTGGCTATTTTTTGGTTGTAGTTGTCACTGTTGTTTGGCAGGCCTGCTCCAGGTTTGAACCCATTAGCCCCAATGTATGTGGCTGGCGCTCTAGCTGCTGAGCTACAGGTGCCAAGCCAGCTAGTTGGTATTTTTAACCCAAGCAAAAATACATACAAATTTTTGTCAATATAAGGAAAAAATAGTGAACTTACTGAGAAGTTGATGGGTCAGTTTTTGTGACAACTGCCTATCATCACTGAAGCCTCCCACGAGGTGCACTTCTAGCCTGGCAAAGAGATGCAACAACAGTCAGAGGCCACAACACCACCAGCAGTACATTACTTTGATTTTAGTTCTCAGCTTCTCAGCTTCCAGGTCTTCACTGTGCCATGGCGCATATAGAAACATCTGCACTGCTCGTGGGGGAAAGGGGTGAGGCTGCCAAAGCCAGTGGTGGGCATCTGGGGACCCTGCCCAGGAACCCTGATGACTGAGTGGGTGTGTATCTGACACAAATGTGATGCTGCTTATAAGAAAATCTTGGATAAAGTGAAAAAAGAAGAAAAATTATAAAACAAATGTAACCCTTCCTTGAAGAGAGTGAAGAACTCTGATCTAAAAAGAATGACTGGATTGTGTCGTTTACCTGCCCCAAGTGGGATCTACCAAAACCTTCAATGTCTTGGCCTGAGAGCAACTGGGGTATGGGTATGAGACTAGGAAGGTAAGTGAGCTTCTGTAGAGCCCACCAGCAAGTAGACAGTTCTTGTGTGCTGTCTCCTTTAATGGCCATCGTACCTGGTGAGAGGAGGATCATCACTGCCATTTTACAGAGAAGGAAATGGGGTCTGTTACTAAAGTACATGCTTATTACCCACTACACCAGACTTTCCCAAAGTGTGTTACACTGAAAGTTAGCCCATGATATGGAAACAAAAACGTGTTCTTAGAGTCAAATAAGTTTGGGAGAGTTGCCCACTGTAACCCCTCCCGACAATTCACATTGCCCATTAGCACAATAGTGCTCTGAGAAGTCCACAAGTCCTACGATTGAAAAAAGTCAAACTAAATTGTTCTGACAATCATGGAATTGGCCTGTGGCCAGGTCTGGTGCCCTAATCTGTGGGGTCCAGTGCAAAATGAAAATGACGTTTTGTGACTGCATGGGTTGCACACTTACGATCATGAAGCCAGCCTAGCCTGTGGCAATAGAACCAGCATTAAAGAATAGCATTAAAATTAAAAATTAGAAGTATTTAATGCTATTAGAAATAGCATTAAATTTAAAAATTTGGCCAGGCACAGTGGCTTACTTTAATGTTAGCCCTTTGGGAGACTGAGATGGGAGGATCAATTATGGCCAGGACTTTGAGACCAGCCTGAACAAAAGCGACACCCCATTTCTACTGAAAGTTAAAAAATTGGCCAGACATGGTGATGTACACCCATAGCCCCAGCTATGTGGGAGGCTGACAAAGGAGGATCACTTGAGCTCAGAAATTGAAGGTTGCAGTAAGCTATGATGGAACAACTGCACTCTAGCCCAGGACAGAGTGAAATACTGCCAAAAAAAAAATTTGTCCTCAGCCCTTGTCCTGGGAGTATGACTGGATTTCTGACCCCTTCTACCCACCAAAATGCTTTGGGTACAATGAACAATGAACACTGTCCTGGTGGAGACACACTGAAAGATATCTCGAAATAAGAAAAAATTGATCTCCTGGGATTCTTAGCATTTGCATATGACTTGAAGAGTTCACTCAGTGGCACCCTTAGTTGGAGAGAGCCAAATAAAACGAGCCCAATGTTGGCGGTGCCTGTAGCACAGTTGTTATGGCACTGCCTACATGCACCGAGGGTGGCGGCTTCAAGCCCGGCCTTGGCTAACTAAACATCGATGAAAACTGCAACAAAAAAATAACCGGGCGTTGGGGCAGGCACCTGTGGTCCCAGCTACTTGGGAGGCTGAGGCAAGAGAATCGCTTAAGACGGAAGAGTCTGAGGTTGCTGTGAGCTGTGACGTCATAGTACTCTGCTGAGGGTGACATAGTGAGACTGTGCCTCAAAAAATAAAAAGGAGCACAATGCCTGCCAAGTCTACATAATGACAAAGAAGGAGAGGGGACAGGTGTGTGAGCACTGCTCTGACAGCCGGGCCAACATCATAACTGAATGACTCCATGTCCACTGAGTCTCAGCGTCTGCCTCTGTCAGCTGTTGGCAGCATACACCTCACTGTAGGGGTGACAGGATTCGATTCTGTAATGGACTGTTCTCCTTCAGTAAACCACAAACATGCTGAAACTTACAACTGCCCCGCCCCCCCAGACACCTGCATGCTGCTCCTCTGCCTTATTTTCCTCCACTGTCCTCACCACTGACCATCCCACATTGTGTACTGTCTGTCTCCTTGCTTTAGAATAGCCATGCCATGGTGTTTTTGTCTACTTTGATCAATGCACATCTTTGGTACCTACTTTGTTCATAGGAAACATTCAACAAATAATTGCTGGAAGAAGGACTGAATGAGGAGATACCACATCTGGGGTAAAATAAAGCAAAGAAGTTCTGATACGTGAACTTCAAGAAGTACATTACTGAGAGTAAATCCACAGGTTCAAAGTTAAACCTTCCATCTGAAATCCAGCCCTGATCCCTGCTTGTGCCCATCATCCATCCATTAAATCATCTGCTGATACAGTGCTAACGCTGTGCCAAGTTCTGCTCTAGGGAAACAAGACAAGACGGATATGGTGATGAGGGCCCTGCATGTTGCTGTAACAGCTTCCACAGCCATTTCCCACTGTGAAGTTCCCAGTTCACAAAACAGAATAGAGTGGCTCTCACCTTCCACATTGAGTGTGGTCGGAAAAGGATTTTATGGAGTTCATGATCAAGGGGACCTCAGCTTTGGTGTTGCTTCCATCACAATGTGTCAGGCAGGTTGCCCCATTACCTGAAGAACAAGGGTGAAATGACTCAAGTTATTCCCAATGAGAACTCAGTAAGCGAGCCAAGACTACTCCTGTCCACTCAGACCGCCTCATCTCTGAATGTCCTGTAAGAAGAAAAATAGAAAAGTCTGTGCTGTGTGTCCCAGCCAACCCATTCTGACCGGGGTAACAGGGAGAGGCCATGCAGACTAGAAAAAAGGCAAGTGAAGTCAGGTTTCAAATAAGACACCAGGAAACTCAATGGTGGTGCGATATTAAATGCTCCCAAATGTTGGGTTGGTTTAAGTAATGGTTTCCTTCATCTCTCTCATCATACCTGTGTGCCTCAGGACCACAATGTGACAAGTGGTGGCATCATCAGAACCCAGAATGGAGATGGAGCCTGTTTAAAAAAGAAATAAAATAAAATATCCAATAGCCTTTGGGGGTAATGCCCAATTCACTGCTTCCTAACCTACCATCCTTTGGGGAGGTCACTGCAAGCTCTCTTTGCTGAACATACAGAAGGCCCTGGGGTCCCACTTGCTGAACAGACTGACCTCTGAGAAGTCTGGCTCTTTCCTGTTTAATTAAAAAAAATAAAATAGTGACGTAAATTAGTGAGGATTGAATAACTAGAGAGTTGGAGAGAGCCAAAGTGGACTCTTACGTGGAAACACACTAGTATGTCTGAGGTGTGTGTATTATTTGACAGAAAAGCTAAAATAAAGATTAAAAAGCAGCAATAACAATCATTTGGAACAATGCAAAGATAACAAGGTCTGGGGTACTTTTTACCTATAAAAGAAGATTTCATAGTACCTATGAAGTAAGATGCAAAACCCTTTACCACCTTTCTTTTAAAATTGTACTGGATGGTAGATTGGGGGGGGGGTGCTAAGAAACCACAGCCCTTCTTGATTTTCTTTAAAGAGGAAAAGAGTTAAAAACTTCCCTGTCCCCTAACCTAATAATTAATTCCACTTATAGAAAGCTGTACTAAGGAAATTACTCAAAATGTGTTTATCACTGTGTTAGTTAGAGTGACAAAAAGGAGCAGCAACAGAAAAGGTAAGTAAATTATGTGGAACCAACCCATAGCCAGGAACCAGAGTCATGAAAAAGAAAACTCTGAGAAAAGATAGTTTTAAAATGGTAAGTACAAGATACAACAGTATACATTTTTTTTCTCTTTGAGACAGAGTCTTGATATGTCGCCCTCGGTAGAGTGTCGTGGCTCATAGCAACCTCAAACTCTTGGGCTTAAGCGATTCTCTTGCCTCAGCCTCCCAAGTGGCTGGGACTACAGGCACCTACAACACCTGGCTATTTTTTGTTGTTGCAGCTGTCGTTGATGTTTAGCTGGCCTGGGCCAGGTTCGAACTCGCCAGCCTCTGTGTATGTGCCCAGCGCCTTAACTACTGTGCTCCAGGTGCCGAGCCAAAAGTACACATTTTTTAAAAGAGCTTTCAATATGCTGTTGGCTGACCATGGTGGCTCATGCCTGTAATCCTAGCACTCTGGGAGGTCAAGGCAGGAGGACTGCTTGAGCTCAGCAGTTTGAGACCAGCTTAAGCAAGAGCAGACCCCATCTCTGCTAAAAATAGAAAAACTAACTGGATGCTATCACTTGTAGTCCCAGCTATTTGGGAGGCTGAGGCAGACAGGAGGATCACTTGAGCCCAAGAGTTTGACGCTGCTGTGAGCTATGGTGACACCACTGTACTCAGGCCAATAGAGACTCTGTCTTAAAAGAAAAAAACAAAAACAAAAAAGCTATCAATATGCTGTCAATACAGCAATGATTGAATGCTTATATACATAGGAAAAAATACTAGAAGGAAATGGACCAGCAGAACCATGGCAGCATTGTAACAGAATAAACATGGTGATTTTACTATTGCTGTTGTCTTTATTCTCTAAATGTTCTATGATGCAGTGATGGTACTGTAAAACTAGGAAAAAAATGGGTTAGGAAAATTTATGAAGGCTATGTTAATATTAGGTGTCAAAAAATCTGTCCAATTCAATATTTGTAAAACAAAAAGCAAACAAACCCTATGCAATAAGCTTGTTAGAAGAACTCAGATGGTAGGTGGCGCCTGTGGCTCAAAGGAGTAGGGCGCCGGCCCCATATGCCGGTGGTGGCGGGTTCAAACCCAGCCCCGGCCAAAAACTGCAAAACAAACAAAAAAGAACTCAGATGGTTGCATTCTTTAATAAAAA